TCAACTCAAGTTGTAACAAGGAAAAAAAAAATGCCAATAGTCAGTAGACATATTGATGTACCAACCAGTTGTACAACAGCGTGGATGAAAATAAAGGTGCCTCCATAACTGGTAAGTTAGAAAAGAAGGAAGATCAAGAAGAAACAAACTCCTTTATTTTGTTTCATTCTCAGTTTTGGAAAATGTCCTTAGCAGAACCTACAAGTTTTTCCCTTGCAGTTTTTGAGGGTTTGCTGCTTGTACATCTCGATGTCTTGTTTTAATCAGTGCCAACAGACAGACCTGCGCTCATGTGTTTTTACATGAAACCTTGGATATGCAGTCTTGTAGGATTAGATATGAAAGGGCACAAACTCGAGTTCAACCACTGGATACCAGATTTGTAGAGGATAACATTCACTTTTCTTTGCCCAGGGCAAGCTGTAGTAAAGGCAAGAGAAGCAACAGAAGCTAACGCCACTCTGGACATACACCACCATCTTACCCAGCAGTTTTGCAGCCATCTTTTGCAAGGTTTGGCTTTGGCAAAGAGCTTTCTTTACAAGGTAAGAGGAGTAGCCTCTCTGCAGACCCATCTATTCCACTGCCATTTTTTATGTTGAAGTTAACCCACTGAGGTCAGGAAAATAGATGTGCCTTTAACTGAGAGCATGCAGGAGAAAGCCTCCTGGAGATCTGCTCCAGGCTTCCAAACCAGCTCATTTGGGAGCCTTGACAATTAGGATTGCTTAACCTATCCAAGACACTCATTAGGAAAGCCTCAATATTGCTCTTCCCTGCACCCAGTTAAGTTTGTCCATTTCAGTGCTTTTGTCTGAAAAGTCACTGCATTACATTTCCCTACTCAACAGAACCTCACTAGCTCACACTGGGATGTACTTTACCTGCAGCACGAGGCTTCCGAGCTCGTCCTCTGCAAAGAATGAATTTCACCTAGTGTTGCTTGAAGACTTATTGTAGATTATGGAAATTTATGAACTGGCAGGAAACCAAACATATTCTATCAGAAGGAAACAGAAAACCTGCTCCACCCCAAAACTACGCTTTCTTATTTCAACTGCAGCACTCCTGTTCTCAGAATGAAAATATTTTCTCAATGCCTGACGCTATTTACCAACGGTGTTGTGGCAGTACAAGGCAGCCCAGTGATACCCAGAACACGACTACCCTGGTCACATTGCACACAGCAGAGCGATGCAGAACATGTCATGTCCATACATACATACCCTTCCAATGTAACAGCTCAGAGTCTGCAATTGAACAGGCTAACACCTAAGCTAGTAAACCCTGCCATTGGGGCAGCATGCCTGCACTGCTTCTAGACCCAAACCAGATGAGCTGCAGCCATGTCTCTGTCTCCAGGCTCATGGGTTCAGACCCGGAGGCAAGCAGCAGGGCCAGGCTGCAGCAGAAACAGTGTCGTCAGGTTAAGGATCCTTTGCAAACATTTCATTTAATAAACATTGTGTTAAAGTGCAAAAATACGAAAATAAAACTCCGTTTTGTTCTTCATTCTGTCGTAGATTCCATCCCATTTGTCTCTGACTGAACACAAAAACAGGTTGTTCAGTTCCAGGGCTGTTTATAATGAAGTTAATTTCTCTCCCAGGTCTCGGGCAGCAGTACAAGGTTAGCAGGCCCAGGTTGCAGAATGTTTATTGTACTGGGACTTTACAGTCTCCAGTGGAAGTAATGCCGTAAATCATGGAAATACCTGTTACTCTCAGGATTTGTGTCTCAGGGTGCTTTTTCCTTTCCCTCTACAGGGGACTCACTGCATTCCCCATCAAAGGGCGCAGGTTTGCTTCCACACCTGGTCTCTCCTTAGGGTGCTCCGAGGGGAAGCAAGACTAAACCCGCACAAGCCTTACGCCCTCAAGCCTCCCCTTCTTCCAACTTCCTTGTTTTGTCAATAAATCAGAAAAGTATCTGTGACTTCCACTGAAATTCCTAAGCCATGGAAACACAGGGCTCTCTTTTGCCATCCTTACATGCACTAAATTCTCATGCACCAAGGAAGGACTGCAGATTCCAGCTGCTATTTATGTAAACATAAAAGTATTTTTGCCTCCAGTTATTGATAAAACATTAGAATATCACAAAATCAGCTCTCTCTATAACATGCCACACCGCTTGAATTCGGTGCCTTGGCCACGAACCAAGATTATAACTGTTATTGTTATAGTGCTTGTGTACTGGGGGTGTATTACATTACCCAAGAAAAACATTAATATCACATTAGCAGTAACCATCAGAGGCTAGCAATTCTTTACGTACTGCACTGTTTTATGGCACGGGCTCATTTTCTGTCCCATTGGGTGCTTGGGCCTTTAAATATTTCAATGCTTCAAACAAATTTTTGTCGACCAAGCACCACATGCAACATTTATTTTTCTAGAGCTACGTGGCTAGTTCAGAAACAGGACTTTTAAACATTAAATACAGACAAGCAAGGTTGTAGTGTCCTCAGTTCTTATTTTTTTCCTCCAGACTTCCAACAGGAAGGATGTCAGAGATGCTCATTTCAAACGAGGAAGAGCCATAGCATTCACACTTCATTCAGAAAGTCTTGTAAGAAATCACAGAGGACCAAATGAGGACCACAGGTCTAAGTTGATGACATTTTAGATATTCTTTCCCATGGGTGCTATATTAAGGTGATCCAATCCCAAGATGGGCTGACAAATTCTCAGTTCCTTCTCTACTGCAGTTTTTGGAGTGGAGATTTTTTGCAGCTTGTAATCCTCAGACAGTGATTCTGGCTGGCGCTTAGCAGATGAGAACCCGTCTCAGCTGATTTGCAACCTAAGAGGAAACTCTCATCCCTAAAACTCGTAAGGAGACTTCGGACCATTGGAGTTTGAGATGCATCTTGCTGCAGATGGTGTGATATGAACAAATACTAACCCTAAAGGAAAAGCCCTGAACTTGCATACTTATAGATACTGCTGTTACCTCTAGCTAGTGAAGGTGCATCAGCTTGCCAGTCTCACACCTAATATGAAAGGCTGTCCAAATAATTACTTGTTAAATTACTGGTTAAAATGGCATCACTTATGCTGTTCTTAGAGTAATGCTTCCAAAAGTGGTTGCATGCCAATGATTTTTTTGTTACAATAAGCCTCTTTCACTGAGTTAACCCTCCCAGCACAACTTGGAGCAGGAATGTATTTTTCTCACTTCACCGGTGACTGTGGATGCACGTCATACACAAGTGCCTTCAAGTGAAGCACTTACTCGGATATACCTCCTGCACTTCCATGAGCAAATTCCTCTCCTTTCAAAGGGAATCCTCCCCAAATTAGCAACACAGCTATACACGTATCAATGCAATATCTGTTGGCACTACTTAACTTGCCCACGGGTGCCAGCCAATGGAGTTTGACAACAAGCCCGGGGTTTATTTGGCAAATCCCAAAGGGGCCAGATAGTTTCACTGTGGGTCACGTTACTATCCAATCGAATGAAACCAAGAAGGGGGAGCCAAACCTCAAAGTTTATGGGCCCGTTTAAGCGCTCGTCCCATGGGCATCTCAAAGGCCAAGCAGGCAGGCACCACAGGACCAGGCTGTTCCCATGCCGTCCCCACGCTGGACGACACGACCCTGCTGGCTGAGGAGAACGGGGACACCGTGCTCATCTCCTGACAGCCACGGACGTCAGAAGATGCTGATGGTCCCACGTTAGAACTGAATCATGCAGCGCTTGTATGTGACGGCATCGCGTTACAGCAAGAACAAGAAGGCACGTTACAGGAGAAATGGGCTGCTAAACCTGAGTCACTTCCCAAAGCTTCTCCTAATATGTCTGAAGGGTGCATCACTTCCTACCAGGCTTCATCTAAAAAAACTCTATTTTTTACAGCCTGCGGGACTTGCTAAGCCTTTGGAGATGGAGTGCTGTCATTTCACCTGTGCTGCCTGGCTCCACGCTCTGTTACGACACCTCCTTAACAATGGGGGAAAATAGGAAGAAACGGAGCAAAGCTTCTCCTGCAATCCCCCCCATCTCCAAACCTCAACCCATTTATCGCACTTTGCCACGTTTTATTTCTCGGCACCGAGAGCCAGCAGAGAAATTTGGCTTTTAATGAAGGGAATTATTCCCGAACTCGAGTCAGTTTTGAGAAAAGCCCTAGCTAACCGGTGTTAGACGAGCAGAGGAGCAGCACGAGCCTGACGAAACGTTAACATCTTGTACAAAGAGGGCAGGCTTGGCTACGAGGACGGCTAGTATTTTTTCGGGAAGGCAGCTGCCACCCCCTTGCACGGGCAAGTTGCAGAGAAAGGCAGCCTGTAAAAATAGCCTCGCGATTCATTCCCTGCGAAAACATGTTCCCCCCAAAGGCGATTTTCTTTTTTTCCCCCCTCAATAACATCCCGTAATTGAAAATAATTGAAAACCACTCTTTAGATAATCTGAGGTTCTGGCTGCTTATCGGGAGGGTTAATTGTCTTCGCCTTATCAGAGCCGGCTGCCTGCCGTTTAATTAAGCCCTCTCGCCCGGGCTCGGGGCAGGGCTCGATCCTAATTCCCGGCGGCACCACAAGTTCCCAGCCCCGTGAGTCCGAGGCGCCCAAGTGCACGGGAGCCTTAAAGATGGCAGGACTTGGGGCCCCCAAAAAGCCACCCGTGCCCGGCCGCAAGCACGCACACAGCCGCGACGCTTCCCGAGGACAAGTCCCGGAGCGCGACAACCTGGGCACGGTTAAGGCACATTGACACGGCCGGTGGCACCGGGGGCGTTTGGCACCCCGCAGTTTCCCGAGAGGGACAAATAAGTAAAAAAAACATCGCCGCCTCCCCGCTGCCCTCCCCTCCCGACCCCCTCGCCGGGAGCCTTTCGCCTCCCAACTCGCCGCCCCTCAGCCGTGCCCAGCGCCGGGGACCCTCCCGCAGCCCCCCGGGCTCCCGGCTGCCCGCTGCCCGCCGCGGGGGCCGGGCTGGGCTCGGTGCCGCCGCACCTGTACCGGCGGGGAGCCCCCCGCCCCGCTCCTCACCGTTAGACCTCCGCACGATGTTCTCCAGGAAGGTGTTCTGAGGCGCCACCAGCCCTCTCCTTCCCCCGGCCATAGTCGCTCTGCCGGCGGCGTGGCGAGGCGCGGAGGGCTCGGCTCGGCTCGGCTCAGCCCCGCTCCGCCGCCCGCCCCATGGCTCCGCCGGGACCGCGGGCACGGCCGTGCGGCATCAGCCCTCCCGCCGCCGCCTCCCGCGCACCGCAGCCCCGCGGCCGCCGCCGCCGCCGCCGCCGCCGGACCTCCCCGCGGCGCCCCCTGCCGGGCAGCGCCCCGCGCGGCCCGCGCCGCCGCCGCCTCCAGGCCGGTGCCGCAGCGCCATCGTCCGGGCCTCACAGCTCGGGGCCGCCTCAGAGCGGCTTCCCCCTGCCGCCAGTGTCACCCGCTGAACCGTGTCCCCAAGCACCACGTCCAACCTCTCTCTCCTTGAGCACCCCCAGGGACGGTGACTCCACCACCTCCCTGGGCAACCCGTCCCAACGCCTGACTGCTCCTTCTGAGGAGAAATGTCTCCTCATTCCCAACCTGAACCTCCCCGGCACAACTTGAGGCCATTCCCTCTGGTCCTATCACTAGTTATCTGTGAGAAGAGGCCGACCCCCAGCTCCCCACACCTTCCTTTTGGGCAGTTGTAGAGAGGTCTCCCCCAAGCCTTTGACATATGTAACCTCTGACAGGTCTTAAAGCTCTGAAGCATTCAACTCACACAGGTTTTTCATTCAGGGATAAAACTACTTCGTTCTTTTCCCTTTACCCACCTATCCGCAAACAGAAAATACTCGGATCTCTTTAAACACCTATCAGCTGGCACTGGCACTTGCTTGCTGTGACACCCTGGTAACCACAGCACCATCGGGCTCTGCCACTTAGGGCACATTTAAGATGTGAGGATGTTTCACGTGTTAGCACTGTTCCAACAAAATTCTGGCACTGACCTCTGAGCTCTCTCTAGGCAGTGCTTGGGCAGGGGCCGTGGCATGGCCAGGGATCGCGGCACAGCCAGGGATTGCAGCCAGCTCCAGCTGTTTGAGAGGAAGGAGCACTGAGCTGGGGCCAGAGAGCTGTGCCGTGGCTGCTTGGCCTCTGGGCTGGAGGACAGACCCCGGTCTGTTTGATCCGGCTGTGCCACACGGACTGCGGTTGTCACCAAAAAGCAAAAAAGGCCAATTCTGCTGCCACCAGCCTTCTGCCTCCCACAGTTCTTAAGTCACGGGACACACACTAAGTACTGGGAGGAGCTGAGCAGCACAGGCAGGTAACAACGTCACTGCAGCAGGAGCTACAGATGCAGTCCCAGAGCGTGCTGGTGTTGGCAGCCACAGCAGCCCCTCTCACAGCAGAACAGACGGGTGACTCCTAAAAGCCCAGCTCATGAAATAGCTGTGCCATGGGAGCCGCTTCTACACCGTTCGTTAACTTTCATTCATTCAGTACAATAGCCAGAGAACCAGGTTAGGAGAGCACCTGAAGTTGCAAATAGGGTACTAAATGTCCCTGAACCTTGTATTTTGAAAAATCCCATGGAAATGTTCACTGGTATCTTTACACATCTACCCCCAACAACTGTACATACAGATTCCCATGCTGTTCCGCTCCTGTTAGCTTCAGCAGCACAGGACAAACCTGATGACCATTTCCCCAGAAAAATTGTAATGGTTACCTTTGACACTGAATTTGCACAACTCCTAATAACTAAGAGTGAGGTTTTGAAAAAACTCGGATCTCAAAACACTTTCGTTATTCCTCTAAGCCACTGTGCCAGAGGGCATGCTATCCGAGTCTCTGCAGGGCTCTGCAGGAATCTCTAGGTCTTGGAGACATCCGACAGCTGGCATACATTACAGAAAAGTGGAGGCTTTTTTTTTTTTTAAATAAAAAAATAAAAAGAAAGTTAAACTGAATCAGCAAGTATGCAGAATTAGGAGCAAGGGGACACAGAGTAAGAAAGAAAAGCCATATATTTTCTGGAACTCCATGAAGTGTAGCTGGATGAGGTTTGTGTTGCATTTGTTCCCCTATCCATTCATTCATTTTACATGTAAAAATTCGGACCAGCCTCTGATTATCTACCTCTGATAATCTGATTTTTCAGAGCATCATGCTGATCCCACAAATTTTGTATGAAAGATATCATTTTATTTAGGTTGGGGGTTACACCTACCTTGTCATCATAATGCAAATAAATAAAACATTAGAGCAAACAGAAAATTTCTCATTTCTTTTCCGTCTTGTTTAGAGTTTCTCCCCATGGCAAAGTATGACTCCACCTGGTGATGAGTTTTTCACCACAGAACAGAAGGACGCTGTGCTAATGCTTCACTGAGATTATTTTGAATTCTATACTCATTTTCTTGCCATTAGCTGTAAATATTGCAAATAGCACAAAGCTGGAAGCAAGGCCCCACTTGAAGCAGCACAGGTACACTCTCTTTCTGATTTCATTTTTAGATGGTTACCTGAAGGGACCTCTCTGGAGTTATCTCAGTTTTTTTGAAAAGCTGAAAACTCAGATTGCTAAATTTGCTTGTTTGCTAAAGCCTGTTGGACAGAACTTACTACCTGACACTTCAACGTAAGGCTCACGTGATCAGCAAACTATTGGCCTCTTATCACCCATTATAGGGGACATTCAGCTATATATTTTTACTGTGCTCTGTCAGACTGTTTTTGTTTGTTTGTTTGTTTGTTTGTGTTTGTTTGTTTTTCTGATAAAGCCCCTAGGTCAGGACTTCCAGCACTCTGGTAAGGGACCATCCTCTAGCTGCAGAGCCTTAAGTACTTTTCCACAGTCCTTTTGAGCAGCTGCTCCAAAAAAAAAGTGCCTTCACCTAAGCTGTGCCTATGTGTCACCCCACTTGAACTGAAAACCAGCCCAACAGGAAACCCAGCACTGGTGGTAAATGAGGAAAACCAGCTGAGAACTCTCTTTTTGGCAGCAGCCCATTCAGTAACATGACTGTAAGTCCCAGTGTCGATACACAAAATACCTTGAAAACTGTGCCATTAATAAAAACATTAGTTCCATGCACTTATTAGTGGAATGACACTAAACCCCATGGCACCTATGAAATAAAAATATAAGCACAGAGGAGAGACCTTCTTTCATCTCTTCGCAAGGTTCACTCCTGAGAGATACTACTGTAACTTCCCCTAAAAACCTCCCATTCATCAGCCCCTAGCAAATCTCAAGATAAGAAAGCTTTTCTTAAAATACAGCTAAATCATTCAGTCTTTAAAGCTAATAAAAAACTCCTGTGGACACAAAATTCACCACCCCTTCTGCAAGTTTTCAAATATGTGAAAAATTGCTATAATGCTCCTCTGTCTGCTGTTGCCACTTTTAAGTCTGAACAAACCCACTTCTTCCAAAGTTGAACAGTACTTTTACTGTGAGACTCTGTTTGCTCTCTGGGACTTTTCATTTCACCTTCACAGCATCAAATCAGTAAAGGAACATAGGATGGTTAGGAAGGTCTCACACTCTCAGAATTTAACTAATTTATGCTGAAAATCACTGTTTTTATTCAAGGCCTTTTTAATTTCTACCCTGTTTGGCATAACATATAACATAACATAACATAACATATAACATAACATAACATAACATAACATAACATAACATAACATAACATAACATAACCCTTTGTTGAAAAAGTTAACTGTCCAAAAATGTAACAATGCAGTTATAACAAATTACCACTAATCCTGAAAATATAAAGAACACTGGATGTTTACATTGAGCTCCATTTGCTACCATATTCCTTTGCTATTTACTGTCAAAATAAAATACATGTATTGATATGATAAGGAAGCATAAAAGATAGCACACAAGTTACTATGCTATATAGATTTAAAAAAAAAAAAATCTGAATAAAAATTGTAATAAAAAATGCTATTTGTATTAATTTACATAAAATCAACAAAGCAGTCATTAATCTACAAATTCTTATAACCAACGGTCTGTGGGCTAAGGCCCCAGTCTAACTACTCAGACGTGTATGTATTTATTTACTCATGACTAACATTATTTATTATGTTATGAAAAGAGCAACAAGAAACAGAAGCCAGCCTTAAAACGAAGATGAATCCATAGTATAACAAGTACAGGCGTGACTATCAGAAGGAAATAATTTGGGAAGACATATGTGCATCTTACTGAAACTTACATTTATTTAACTCTGTTTAACCAATGTGCTCCAGCCTTTGGCGTGTTTCAGCCTGAGGTTCCTAAGGTCTGATTATTTCCGTACTCTAAAATTAAATGAGGTTTCTAACTCAGAGCAACAATCCAGTTGCACACCAGTCTGTAGATCTGAGAACTGAAAAATGTTAGCAACCCCAAACAGCCATAATAAATTTGTCAGAATATGGACTTCTCCAGTTATGGAATTTCTGAATTTCCTCCAGACTTTTCCTGGGGAACAAATATGGAAAAATAACTAAAAAATTCTATGTTCTGAATGGAATAATTCTCAAAATAAAACTGATGAGAGAGTACACAGCCAGTCTTTTATTTATACATCCAACATTTGGAGTGTGGGCTAACAGGAAAGAACTGTTCCTTCTTAGAATAGCTCAAAAGGGCATCGCATTTTTTTCCCCATTTGGACAGTATGTCTATCTCCGTTTATTTCAACAGGAGCTGACACGCTGTCCTTCTGGATTTAGGAAAAAAGAAAAAAACATCCTGATTATGATATCAGATCATCATTCTCCTCATTGTAGGTGTCCCTACCCAACCCTTTCAGCTCAACCCTGTCCTGCCCTGCCCTGCCCTGCCCATGGTCTCTTCCAGCCTCAGATCAGTCAGTGACTAACTGAAATGTTATTACTCAAAGGAGGAAAAGAAAACAACCATGGTTTCTTTGGTTTCAGGTCTGGTAGGTTTTCTGTTAATGTTCTTATTGTGTATTTCAGTTTGCTTCGTATTTCCTGTCCCTGGCTCAATACAAACCAAGGCAAACCGAAGCAAATGAGACACAGCTTGCTCATACTCCGACAGAATGCAGGGGCCCTCACTGAGTAATAGAAAAAGATTTCTGTTTGCATCCCCTGTCCACAATAAGCCTAGGAACCCATAGCTCCTGGGTGAATGTTTTTTCTTAAGTAGCAAGGACACCATGGGCTGCGTTACCATAGTAAGTTACTGACTGCATTTATCTCTCAACTGTGGTTCAGTAGTCCATGATTTAACAATATAAAAAAGCTACCAAAATGTAGGATCA